GTTTTTCTCACTGAAAATATCAAGTTAGCAAATACAACTTTCTGGAGAAAATTGTGTGGCGCATCTTTTCTTTTAACGGAAAAGATCCAAAATCTGGGAGAAAGGAAAATGGAACGCTATAATTAGCTAAATAAAATGTTTATAAATGCGTTTCAAAGAGAATCTTATTCATAGTCAAACAGAAATATCAACTGCTACGTCGAAAGAAGTTTATGGCGCGATAATATTTTTTAAATATTTTGTTAAAACTTTTTTTATGTTTTTCAATTTTAGCATTATGTAAATTTCATTCAACAATAAATTTTTATTAAATTTCTTATGACAAAAAGTAAAATTCAGATAATTTCTTAATCAAGATCATTCAAAAATCGAATTTTTCACAGTGGCATCAAAAAAACCCAGTGGTGCTTAATACAAAAGAAGGAAAAAAATAAGAAATTACGTTCGTCAAAGCTACGCTTTATAGTTATAAGGCTGGCTGGCGAAATGTGGAAGTTCAAATGAAATAAGTAATGCATCAAAAAAGTAATAAGAGATAGCTCAGAAAGAAAATGTGGTTGAAGTTAAAGAATACAGCATCTTAAAAAAAGCAAATAGTTCAAAAGAAAAAAAAATTCAAATAAAAGCAAACATGTAACTGAAATTTCTGGAAACGAGGAGGATAAAGTAACCATTAAACTGATTAACGTCAATAATCCTCCATCATGGCCAACAATTTCAGACAAAATAAAAAATTTTTCTTAATAGAACATGGACCAGGTCAAGGACAAGATGCTGATTTCAGGGAATCGGCTTCAGAGGATCTCAGAAAGATTTTACCATTTCCAATCCAAAAAGAGGTTTCAAAGATTGAAAAATTTAAACCGATTTTCCGATCAAAAAAAAAAAAATTCTATGTTTCATCGTGATGCTTATCTTCGATGGAAATGCTTTGAAAAAGAAATTAAAGGAGGTGGTTTCATAGATGATTCCCTGCATAAAGCAGTAGAATGAGAATCAGAATAAGAAAAAGTGGCGACATATCTTACGCATTATATTCGTTTTGTGCAAATCACAATTTACCTCTTAGAAGTATGCTTGAAATTATTGGCAGTTCAAGGGCAGGAATGTTTCTAAATTTATTTGAATTAATAAATAATTATTATAGAAATATTGCCTATCATATAGCTAATCACAGAAATGGATCTGTTTCTTATCTGTCTAATAAAGTACAAGATGAGTTTATATTACTATTAGGTAATCATGTTCGATTTGAAACTTGTTCTAGAATTAAAAAAACAAAATATTTTTCTTTGATATTGATTGTACACCAGATGTTTTGCATCATGAGCAACTATGTCAGATTATTAGATTACGTGTATATAAAAGGCGAATCCATATTTATTGAACAAAGCTTTATAGATTTTATAGAAACAAAAGAGAAAACTGGTAGTGGTTTAGCAAATGAAATTATTTATAAGTTAGAAAAGGATGGCTTCGACATTCAAAATGTTCGAGGACAAGGTAATGATAACACGGCTGGATCGTACAAAGGCGTGCAAGCCATTATTTGCTAAAGAAATGATCAAGCTATATATATTCCTTTTTCGGCTCATAGTTTAAATTTAGTATGTAACAAATTCAAGTATGTTAATTTTTTTAGCACTGTACAGAGGATTTATAATTTTTTTGTATCTTCAACGAGTAGATGGGATGCACTTGCGTACGTTTTGAAAACAACATTAAAAGGTCATACGAATACACGATGGTGATCAAGAGTAAATGCTGTTAAAGAATTAGATCTGCAAATAACAGAAATACATAGGTTATTGAAAGATACGTCATTAAATCACAAATCTTTGCAATGGGCTGAAAATAACAGCATTTTGAAAGAAATCAATTAAACATTTTTATGTTTGTTATCTGCGTGGAATTTAATACTGCAAGAAATCGAAAAAGTAAATAAAACCTTGCAATCAAAAACTATAATTGTCTATAAAGCCGCACGCTTAATAGAGGGACTACTATGTCTTTTCAAAATGTATTTTTGAAAAGTCTAAAACTTCAGCTTTAGAGATGAATGTATCATCAGAATTTGAAGAGAAACGAAAACGAAAAGTTAATAAACCAAATTGTGAGGAAATCAATTGATATAAATTGTAGGTTTTGAGAAAAATATATTTTTATAGAAATTAAAGAAGTCTTCGACGTTTTAACTTCACAATTGAAATGGCGATACGAAAAGTTAAATAAATTCTCTTCCGATTTTCAGTTTCTAACTGGTGAACAATTAATGTCATTGGATCGAAGTAATTTAAAGGCAGCAGCTTAGCACTTAAATATCCGAATGATATGAACGCTGAAGAAATTCAGTCAGAAATATCTAGTTTTAACAACCATGCTATTTCAATAATTCCGGATACAAAAGCAGGTACAAGTTTAGAACTTTTGTAAATTATTCATGATTATAATTTAGTTCAGTTCTATCCGAATTTGGAAGCAGCGTTAAGAATTTTTTTAAGTTGCCAGTTACTGTAGCTAGTTGCGAAAGAAGCTTTAGCAAACTTAAAATAATAAAGAACAATATGAGATCTTCACTAGGCCAAGAAAAACTTTCAAACATCGCCATTTTCTCTATAGAACGTGAGTTAAGTAAAATAGATTTTGAAAAAATTATTGGTGATTTTGTTTCTTAAAAGCAAGAAAAAATAAATTATAAATATGCTTGAAAAATTTATCCCATAAATTTTGTGAGCAGATGTTTTATTTATATTAATATTATTTGCCATTTTTCAAAAAGCATATGTTTACTGTTTGCCATTTCAAAATTGTTAATCTTTATATATGTTTCACTTTGTGAAATATACAAAGTTATAATTAAATATTACTGTAAAAGGTATTTTCACTTCAGTATATATATAAACATACATTACAGTATATACTGTAAAAGGTATTTTCATTTCAGTATATATATAAATATAGTTAATTTGTTCCATAAGTATGATTATATATATATATATATATAATTAATTGAAATTGAAATAAATTTCCTAATACTTGTGCAATAGCTGCAAAGTAAGATAATAATAATTTATTTACTAAATATAAAGGTAAAAGTATGGTGGACACCAGCGATGTACCATAGGTCAACTGGTATTGCCTTCCCATACTAACTCTTAAAAAGGGGGGGGGGAATTGCAAGTTTTATAGGAATTTGCATAGACTGAAGCTTTCCAAAAGGTCTAGAGTTTGCCTATTAAGGGCCGTTCCCACTGGGGTTTATCTGAGCTAACGGAGCCAGTTCCGTGTGTCGACTAGCTCCACTATGCCTGCAGATTTTTCAAATTGCTGCCTTATGGGAAAAAACTGGTTTTGGTGATGGGTCGGCTACGTCAGTTGTCTCCGTTAGCTCAGATAAATCCCAGTGGGAACGGCCCTTTATGGTACATCGTGCAATCCTACAGTACGCCCTGCATCCAGTATTTAATTAAAATAATGATGTAGGACATAAGTAGATTACAAAATAGTCGGAATACAATTTGCGATTCACAAGATAAATTGAACATCTAATTTGGTACAACAAAAATAGGAGATAAACATTATTAATAAACAGATAAACATAATGAGATAATTATAATTAGTACTGGCAACACAATGTTAAAATGAATTGTAATAATAATGCTAAAGAGGTGGGTGTCCATGGGTTATTTCAGATATATTGGTTTATTGCAGTTTATAAAGTTCACGAGCCATTTTGTCCATAATCACAGCATATAAAAGTTCACTAAGCAGTATGTGGATTTACACTTCACAGAGATCTAGGCCGTAGGAAGAGAGTCGTTGCATAATTTTCTGAAACTTTGGATACTGATGTTTATCTTTAATTAAAAACCTTTGCAATGCCAGGAGATCAGTTCTTGGGGATTTTATGTGAATATCCTCAGTTAAGGGGCATGAGAAAGTGTAATGATCAGGAGTTCCCTGTTTCCCACATATGCAGTTATCAGAATTTGCCAAATTTCTTGCGTAGAAATATGTGGTGAAGGGTCCATGTCCTGTTATAAAGTAATTTAGTGAAGGATTCGAGGACAGAGATGCGAAGCTTACATTGGGGATCAAGTTATATGTGCATCTTCCCTGTGGAGCATTGTTCCACAAATCTCGTCAAGATTTTGAAGCAAGTTGTTTTAGTTGGTACTTGAAATTTGAGCGAGGCCACGGAATGATGATTTCAGTAGCATCTTGATTAATACTTGCTTCTTTGGCTAGTTTATCTGCCTGATCATTACCAAAATGGCCACTATGTCCTTTGATCTATGAAATTTGAATTTTGTAGTTTGGAATTTTAAGTAATATTGATTATACTATATCTTAATATAAAGTTAGTAGAATGGATCTGCATGAAGTAACCCAGATCCCGCATTGTATACAGAGGCGCACATTTACTTCTTTGCCTCAGGTGAAAAAATATGCAGGCACGGCTCTGCCTTTAGTTAGGTTAAGGCAAGTAAAAGTTTGCAGATTCACAATGGATGTACAGTATTTTCGGGTATTTCATGGAAACGTATAAAGTTTTCAGCTAAATAATACATAATGAATATTTTACTAATGAGTTATTTCACTCTGCCCTCAAACCGTGTATAAAATAAGAATTATATACTATATATATATATATATAGTATCCTTCTTAATCACAACACTGAAATTATTTTCAGAGAGAACTTGAATCTTGTTTTAAAAGACTTATTAATTGGAAATATAAGTTTAGTATCAGCATTTAAGAAAATTTAGCCCATATAGCCATTTTTTTTTCTAAGTCCTTTATACACATGCTTCTTGAAATAGCTTGAACCATTAAAAAGTAAATACGAAGCGTCATTTTGAAGCTATAATTGGGAAAATTCTTACTTTGCGTAGCTGTTCTGGGAATTTAATTTACAACAAGCTTTCAAAAAAGGTTAAGGAAATAGAGATACGTGTTTGTGAATGCATTTTACAAATATATTTTATTTCATATTTAGATGGTCTGCTAAAGATCCTGCCGAGCGTTCCAAACTGCTTCACCGAGTTGCAGATATCCTAGAATCGAGAATATTGGAATTCTCAATAGCCGAATCACAAGATCAAGGGAAGCCGCTCTTCCAATCAAAGGCTGTGGAAATTCCTAGAGCTGTAATGAATTTTCGACATTTTGCCAACAGTATCTTGTGTGACAAAGACATGCAAGTATTCATTCATTTTCTAACTATGTATAGTTTTGTGAAATTTGCCTCATTATTCAATTCTGTGCAATTTTTAAGATAATATTTTTTAAGGGGAATTGGTTTTTACACGCGTTTTGTTTAATTTTGCTTCGAATTTTAATTGCATTTAGTGCGTATGCTTTGTTGAATTTCTGGATAATAAATAAAATTATAATAAAGATCTTTTCTGTTCTTAGCTTTATTTATCACTATTATACTAGCGTATAGCGTAGTTACAACAAAAATTACAATTAAAATTTTAAAAAGGGGGAGGCTCTGTATTCTTAATTTAAAGCATTTTAGAGCACTTGCTATGATTTTGCATTTAAGTAATATAAATTTATTTGTGAGTGTTTAAACTAATATAAGTTTATATGTAAAACAATAATATTCTATTTAAGAGATTGGATGGAATCGCATATTTTATAGATTTTTTCCAAGTAAAATCAATGAAACCGTTTTTGGTTTATCAAGCAAAATGCGAAAGGGTTATCGCCTCTTTTAAATAAAGATGAAATTTTCTTCTGTTTTTAAATATTCTTTTATTCAGTAAAATAATTTGCTTTGCTTTTCAATAGGATTTAAAAATCAGTTATATAATGTCGAAGCTATGAAAAAAAAAGGTAAAGCAAGTCATAATATAAATTAATGTAATAAAGATGATGTAAATACAGCAATTTACAAGTAGATCCTAAAAGCGTCGGTTCATGCAAGGCTAGAATGGAGATGACATTTCGTTTTTAAATTCAGAAATCTAGTTTGAAACTAACTCTTAATAAAGCGTATAACTTATGTATTCTTATGTATTGGTAATTGAATGAAATAAATGATTAAGTGTAACAAATAGCAATAATAATATGTAAACAGAGAGCCTTAGGTTATCTGCTGTATTAGAATGAGTAAAAAGAAAACTGTGTTAGAATTTAATTAAGCTTTTATTCGTTAATCAACTCATATATTTAAGAACCGCTAATTTTTTTTATTTACACCGAATTCTAAAGAGTAAAAGACTCGCATGCAGATTAGAATATTACACACATAAAGTTGCACCCCAACTTGTATGTTAATAACTGGAAAAATTATTTTATTTGTTAATTGTTCAGAGATGTTAGCGAAATTAAATACGAACATTCCGGATTTGTAGCCTCCTGCGCACGATTAACTGGATTCCTCTTAAATTACATCGTTTACTAAGTATAACTATCGAGACCGGGGGGCCATATAAAAAGTAAGTTGCGTAATTTTCACAGTTTTTTTTTAATCTAAAATTTTTAAAACACGAATACTGTTTATTTTAAGCAATTTTATAACTGTATGTATACGTCTACTGCTAACGGTTGCTAAAATAAAGAACGCATAGTGATATTGTCACGGTGCATATATATAAACACTGATTTTAGAAAATAAATTTTCCTTCTGTACAAATAAGAGCATGGACTGTTAAAAATAGAAAATCATTGACCTAACATATCAGACAGATGTAAGGTAAATCAAAAGCAAAATAAAGTTTAATAAAACAAGAAGGGAAAAGGTACCGAAGAATCAACATGGAAAAATAATTATCCTTAAACACAACAGTTCTGTATAGTTTCGTTTACTTTTTTTTTCAGGTGTATTAACCAACCAGCGGATGGTGTTCTGAATTACACTGTCCACTGTCCTTGTGGCGTGGCTGGAATTATAGTCCCTTGGAATCTTCCTCTGTACCTATTGACATTTAAATTAGCCCCTGCGTTAGCTCATGGTAATACTGTCGTTGCAAAGCCCAGCGAATTCACATCAGTCACAGCTTGGATGTTATGTTCAGTGTTTAAAGAAGCTGGTATGATTTTTTGTATTTGTTTGAAATTCAAATTTTTCTAAGCTCCGACTATCTATTTAATTCGCAAAGAACGTTTCCTGATATAAAATTTTAGTATTATATAAATATAGCGTGTTAAAATACGTATAAATATTGCTTATTAATCCATCTATAATTTTTGGAACAGGAAACGCAGTAAATCTGCAATGCCCTCCCCGGGATTCTAATTCTGGATCTTCCTACCACTGGCCGGACGTATTTCGAATTACACTGAGAAGGCACACAGCAAGGAAAGGGAAAATTTTTATACAGTAATGGAACAATTAAAAGAGGGAAAGCAGTTATGTACTTGAAACATGTCATTATTCTACCCAATTCCCCAACGCTGTAATGCTTCTTTTCCGTTGCTCTGGAAGTTGTTTTTTCCCTCTCTTCGTAGAAAGTGTTGTTTTAGGTGCATATCCTATTCTCAAAACTCTGCGATGACACTGAGGAAACTGGTTATAAATATGGACTATAATGAGGATGTGTCCCACTCGCCTGTATGTGTCCGACTTCTTCTTCATATTACTTACAAAGCCTGGTAAAGTTTGAAAACCTGAACAAAAACTTAACGATAATTTTTTATTCCATAACCAGAAATTTTTTGGTCGCGGGGAAAGCATTATCATTAAGTTTTCATTATTAAAAGTGATGAATAAGAATACTACTTGTTCATCACTTTCTTGGGCGCCACACACAACTGACCAATTCGGGGTCCCACTAGGGTTCCCACCTCTCCCGGAATTGAGTCCTGAAAATTAAAATCTCCCGGCTCCCGGAAGGAATTTAAAATAAATATTACTCTCCCGGAATATCAACTTTCTCGAAAATAACGACACAATGTGCACGGACGAAATGGTTCAGAGCATCGAAAATCACACGACGGTGCACAGAAGCCAAAGAACGTCTATGTCTTTGCAGCAGCGATCTACGGTGAGCGGTGAGTAAGCGCCTTACGGGATGAGTCGTGGTTTCATGTCGGCGTGTCACGCGCGCGCGCCCTCATCTTCTCTCACCCTCTCATTTTCAATGCATTCTTTCATTTAGTCTGCAGTTAGCTAGCTATCTACAAACAAGAGCGTATTTAAATGCTTTCATAATAATAGCTTGGGAAAAAAAAAAAAAAAAAAAAAAGATTCTGATTCTGCAAGTAAACAAATACCACACACACACACACACACACACACCAAAAAAAAGGCAAACTATTCGACGTCGTTTCAAGACAAGTGGTTAACTCAATTTCATTGATTAGCTTATGAAGAAAGACAACTTTAACGGAGAATGTAAAGTATGTCGGAGAACGGTTAATATTAAGTACGAGGATGTTAGAGCTTTAACTGTACATTCTCAAAGCAAGAAGCACCAGTCGTTAATATTGAATAGAGGATTCTTCGCAATCGGTTTCGAACTTTTCATGAAGAAATCTTCAGAAGAACAGGACACTATATCAGCAATTTAAATTACTTCAGTCTACCATAGGATTAATCACAATCACACTTTTAATAGCCAGGATTGCACAAATTGTATAGCAATCTATTTCAAGATTCTTCTTTGCCAAACACGATTTCTTGTGGTAGAATAAAATATACAAGTATTTGCGAGAGTGTGCTTGCTCCTTGCAGCTCAAAAAATACTTTTAAACGAGATTAAGGAGGCAGAGATTTTTTTTTCAGTGCCGACTGAAAAGAAACATTTTTTTCTTCTCCCGGAAACTTTTTTTCCTCTCCCGGATTTTGACAGCCAAGAGGTGGCAACGCTAGGTCCCACTGCATTTGGGTGATATTTAACAGTCGAAATACAATGTTACTAACTGTAAATCAGGAATCAGCGCGCAAAAATGATAACAGTCTGGATAATACTTTGAACATCCTGGTGTTTTACGGCGTAGTAGCGTAAATTAATATTTTTGTGACGTAGCTGTTTGTGACGTAGTAAAATGTATTTATAGCATAGTAACTCATATTTTGTGGCACTATCCATAAAAATGGACATGAAAAAAAAATAACGGTATTGATTTATATAAAAATATCAGAACCAAAATGTTAGCTGAACAAACTAAAAAAAGTATTTTTATGATCTTAGGTTATTAACATTGGATCCGTATAGCTATGTGTAACTTTTAATGCTGTTATTTTGCTTTCACGTGTTTCAAGTTCACGTGAATCATCGGACTTTACTCGTATTCCAAACAAACTCCGAAACTCTGGCTATCCATCCATTTTTAAGCTAAACAAACAACAAAAGTAATTATAGTGCATGCAGACATTAAAACTAAAATAAATTAAACGAAGGCATTTTTTTATCCCAAACCGGTATTAGCCTAGAATGCCTATTACTGTCGAATCACATTCCAAATTGTTGCCATCAAATATAATCGCCCTATAACAAAGAACTTAAATAATGAAGAAATCTGCATCAACGTATGTACGTTTCTCGCAATTGGAATAAAAATGATACCTAGATCCATCAAATTTTGAATAGCGTAGTCCTCCACACGAATATGGGCACTTGAAAACCTTGAATTTTGAATTTCGAATTTGTTTTATTATCTGTTTCATATTTTGTAAAATTTTAATGAATTTTTGCTTAAAAAATTCAACGATTTCAAAGCGAGCAGTGGCAACATTATATGGAATAAAAAATGTTTAATTTTAGCTCCGCGAGACTGTCTATCGGAAATTCAAGTATTAAATTCAAATATTTTAGATATTTTTAGCCCGTTCGTCCAAATGCTTTCGAAATGTGTATGTGTCCGTAAAAAAAAAAAAAAAAAAAAAAATTAAAACAAAATAAAAAAATAAAAAACCGTCCCTTGGATGTGATATAAAATCTGAAAGCTTTCAGATTTTTTATTTTTTATTTGTTTATTTAATTTATTTTTGAGTAAGAACAAAATACCTATCTCTTTTTAAATGAAAATAGCATTTTTATCTGAATGAATTATTGAGGCATAACTTATATTTTATTAAATAAAATTAAACGGAGCATTATTTTTTATTTAAATAAAATAATAATCAGTAATAAATAGCACAAATTGATATAAAATAATAATAAAAATCCTTAGCTAAAATTAAAGTAAAATATATATACCGTATTACTCGTATATTTTCCCTCCTTTTCCTACTAATTTTACCGCTTGAAAAGTGGGAGGGGGGAAATATGCGCTATTTTTAAAGAAAAAGCTTAAATGATAAAGATATACCAATATTATTATATTAAATACTTCAAAGTACTTCTTAATTTTAGTAATATTTATTTTTACTTAAAAAATTCTTTCCTGTTTGGACATATATTTTACATTGTTACCATAAATCAGAAGTTCCTTAATCATATGCTGAAGAAAAGGAAAGGGACAAATCACGCTTGGAGAGTAAGGGCTGTATATATTACTTAAATCCATAAACACATAAAAATTAATGAAAAACGAAACCTTAATTTTACTACGCCCAAGAAGGATAGCAGGCGATTCGGATAGATAGATTTTCGAATATCTGAGGTTCGGATAATTGAAGTTTTGAAATTCTACGATGCGTAATGAAATGTATTCGTCTAATTCTTTTCAACTTTACCCTTCATTTTCTTATCAATTCCAAGATTCTTTTCTCTTTCAGAATATTTCAGATTTGCATATTGCCTCTAGCAAGTTGGCCATGATGCTATACCTTCGCAAATCGGTTTTATAAAAGCTTACCTTTTTGCAGCCAGAAAAGCAAATAGATAAGCAAACTAAACGTTTGACTGTATAAAAATTCACTTAAATTCTTTTCCCTATAAATGGAAAAACAAATTGGTTCCCAGTTTCATTTCGAAAAGAAAGAAATCCTATTTGTTCTGATTTAAATCTTTTTTTATTCGATTAACAGAAGTGAAACAAAATGCTGCTTCGTAAAATAAAAAGACTGGAAACTGAGGGATTTTTAAACGAAGTTGCCGATTTTCAGGTTTTGATTATAAGTTAAAATCAGCGACTAACATTTTTATGGGGAACTTCTGTCCAGTAAAATAAAAATTAAAAAAATAGTTTTCTCTTTTCTTGAGTTTATATTTTTGATAGTATGCCTGTTGATTCTCATTCTGCCTTAACGTGAATCTTCTTCCACACTTTATTTCGTGTCCACTCACATTCAAAATTCAAGTGGGTTTCCCCTGCTTGCTTTTGGTTTTCCCATATTTCTTAATTTTCTGACTTTTATGCAGTTTCTGTTATCGATTATTTTGGTGTTTTCTTCTTTCTTTGATCAAGTTATACCTGTCCTATCATAATAAATTCTATTTTCGATGAAGAACAGCATGATGCTTCCGATATATCGATACCTCTTTCATTATGTTCAATGTTGTACATATTGCAATATCATTCTTGTCACGGAATTAAATCATTAAATAATTTTTTGACGTCTCTCACTGAAAAAGATGTATTTCATATTCGTTAATCTCATCATTTTTAGCTTATTATTGAAATTTATTTCAAGATTTGCCTTCCCGAGGAAAATAATACCGTATTTAGTTGAAAGTATGATCTTTCTTATTTTTTAAGATAAAATTTAAGAAACAAAATTGTACATGAATATTTATTTTATCTTGCAGTAATTATAAGACAAGGAGTCTTACTTTCTTCCCCTTTCTCCAAAGTTTCCTTGAAATAACAATACCATTAGCGGCGGCTCAAGGACATTACTGATACATTGTTGCCTCATCGTTTTCTTGTATATCAGTGATAAGTATAGTGGACGCATGTCTAAACTGAAATCGTCATGTATCGATTATAATTAGCAGTAGTATATGCGATTATTACCTGTGTGGTTTATTTAATTTTTGAACACTGTAATTATTCCGTATAGAATGATAATTACGATGACCGGAAAAATGCCCACGGGAAAAATGCTCACAGAATAATGCTCACAGGTATAAATGCTCACAGGAAAAAAGACCCACACAGAAAAAAGCTCGCATGGAAAAATGATCACTTAGAAATATACTCACATGGAAATAAGCCCACTGATAAATAAAATACGTAGAAATATCCTTACATTATTCAATCAATAATTAATCGATTTGAACATCGTACATCTACTTTAGTTTTTCAAAGAAAAATTATTTAAATTACCAAAACATCTATGATATATATACATATATATATATATCAAAAACGTATAACTTATGTATAGATTTATAAGTTGCTATATAAGATTAACAAATGGTCCGTTTTGAATTAGGAAAAAAAGAGAGGAGGAAAGAAGAAAAATGAAACAGAATATACAGCGAAAAACTATTACAATTTTAATTGTTAAAAAAAAATAAAATAATAGTAAATATAAGTTACACATTTTATAATATAAACATTTAGAAGAATAAGCAAATAGAAATAATTATTTTATTTAAATTACGTAAAATACCTTGTTATATATATAAATCTTAAATATATATTTCACATAAACTTATAAGGTATTTCTCCCGCCTACTTAGCATGCCTTCGTGGTGTGGTGGTCTGTACGCTGGGCGCGTATTCCAAAGATCCGTGGTTCGATTTCTGGCGAAGGCTTTGCTCATTTTTCACATTTCCTGCTTCCGAAATACCTAATGGCTCTACAGTGACGCCCGAACTAAGAAGGTGGCGGATGATGATTCTCTACACCCAGGATTTGGCGATTGGGTCCCCTAAAAACCCTAGTCGCATTTTAAAAGGGAGGAGTATATAAGGTATTTCTCCCGCCTTCTTAGCATGCTTTCGTGGTGTGGTGGTCTGCACGCTGGGCACGTATTCCAGAGGTCCGTGGTTCGATTCCGGGCGAAGGCGTAGCTCATTTTTCACAGCTCCTGCTTCCAAAATACGTAATGCCTCTACAAACTTACTGAATATTAGCTAATATGTATAATTTTATCATCGATTTCATCATAGTTTCTTACATGATTCGCAATTACCAAATGTAAGTTTTTTTTTTTTTTTTTTTTTTTTTTTTTTTTTACTTTAGTACGTCCTGTGTTTACAGTAGCTAGTAATAAACATTGACAGGCTAAATCTTTTTTCAGTCTGTCAAACAAAAACTAGGATACTAGGATGGCTACAATTAAATACTTATGAAAGCTTTCGTAATAATTTGTTGTTTTAATAGATTTTTTCGAAGGCTGCTCCATAATGATTCCACACTTCGATTGGAAACTGTGGTCTTCTAGAACTTTTTTGGCTCCAAACTTAAATAACTACATTCAAAACATCAATTTCTATACATACACATCAAAAGTATGCAAAAATAAGTAAATAAAAAACAAAAATGAGCTATTGGCAGTTACAGGGGGGGGGAATGTCGTACAGGGGGCAGTAGTATAAAATATTACAGTACATGCAAAAATTTTACTATAGTTTTTATTCTTTTATATATCGCCCTTGAAAAGGTTAATATGAGCATTTGTCCAATCATTTTTTTCAAATGATAAAATAATTTTTCTTTAAAAAATTCAAGCATGTGTACGATGTTCTAATCGATTAATTATTGATTGATTAATGTAAGGATATTTCTACGTATTTTATTTTTCAGTGGGCTTATTTCCATGTGAGCATATATCTATGTGAGCTTTTTTCCGTGTGAGCATATTTCTAAGTGAGCATTTTTTCATGTGAGTATTTTTCTATGTGGGCATATTTCTGTGTGGGCTTTTTTTCCTGTGAGCATTTATACCTGTGAGCATTATTCTGCGACCATTATTCCTGTGGAGTTTTTCCCTAGAACCGATAATTACACTCCTACCTCACATTCTGTTATTTTATAAGGTATTTCTCCCGCCTTCTTAGCATGCTTTCGTGGTGTAGTAGTCAGCATGCTCGGCGCGTATTCGAGAGGTCCGTGGTTCGAGTACCGGCGAGGGCATTGCACATTTTCTTCTATTCTGCTTCGAAATAACCTAATGTCTCTACAGTGGCGCTCAAACTAAAAGGTGATGAATGATGATTCTTCACCACCAGGATTTAGCGACTGGGTCCCCTAAACCCAGTCGCTCTTTAAAAGGGGAGTGTATGTAAGGTATTTCTCCCGCCTTATTAGCATGTCTTTGTGGTGTGGTGGTCAGCACGCTCGACGCATATTCGAGAGGCCCATGGTTCGAGTCCCGGCGAGGGCATTGCTCATTTTTCATCTCTCCTGCTTCAAAATAACCTTCATGTATCAAAATACTTGTTTTGTAGTTACAAAAAGCAGCTTTAATGCGCGTAGAGCATTACACACTGTGTGTGTAAGATATAAAATATGAAACTCAAAGTTGTAACTTAAATTAGCAAGCCCTTAATTCTTCATTTTATTCATTTAGAATCCCTTAATTCTTCATTTTATTTCTATATCACCTCCTTTCTGTTCTAAAAGTAGAAATTGTTTATAATAATTTCTCTGGACTGCGTCTTTTCAAAATTTCATGCTTGCTTGTGTAATCCTGCTGCAATGCGGGCAGCTCTTCTCCAGTCAGATTAAAGAAACTTTCGGCTATATATCTAGCGCTTTACTAATCATGAATATTTTCGTCATTTAAAATAATTCTATAATTTGAAGTATATCACTATGACAAACGATTGCCAAAATAAAAGCCGGCAAGAACATGCATATACGTTTGGGTCTGCAGATTGCAATAAAAAAAAAAGGGAGGTGAAGGATTATATGTTATAGCAGTTCTATATACAAAATTTCAACGTTGTACGAATAATCGTTTCTGAGTTATGCGAGATACATACATATGTATGTATGCAAATTACGAAAAAAATCGATTTTAAATCCATTTTGCATATACAGGTATGACTCAAAAAATAGTCAAAATGGATTCAGGAACGGTTAAAATGAATATTTCCGTTGAAACCTGATAACCGAAATTTTTCGCGATTAAAATACTTCTTTTATTTCGAACAAAAAAAAACTGTTTACTGATTTTTTAAGGCAAAATATTAATTTTACAAGCCAATTCTCTACAAAGTAACTGTTTTACAGGCTTTGACGATGGTGTTGTGAATATGGTTTTCGGTTACGGTCACAAAGCTGGAGAAGCACTCATTCGCCATCCCGATGTTCCAATCATCTCATTTACAGGCAGTGACAGAACGGGGCTCCACATTGGTTCTGTAGCTGGTGGAATGGTCAAGAAAGTATCTCTGGAGGTATTTGAAATTTCACAAACTTTCAGCTGAAACCAATATCGACACCTGAAAATACAGTTAAATATTTCTCACTCTCTGTATTCTAAGACGTACAAACCAAGCACAAAATGGTTTAACTTTTTATTGCTTTATCAATAGTGTGAATATATATATATATATATATACATATGTATATAATCCACAAGCTACGAAAAGCTCCTTGAGATCCATCCATTTTTCAGACTCATAATGGAGCAATTTAAAAAAAAAAAAAAAAACGCTATGCAGGCAGATAGGTTTTATGTTATATGGTTGCGCATTGTTTTATTTGATACTACTAATTTTTTACTTCGATTCTGTCTTTACCATATGCGTGATGGACTTGAATATCCATTACTTGAATATTCAAGTGAATGAATTGCTTGAATATCCATTACCATATTAAATTTCTAACTAAAAAGTCACTCAACTAAAAAATTACTATTTTAACTATGCTAACTTTAGAAATTAAAATGCATCTTTTCTAAAGTAACAGAGTTTTATTAACTGTGAAGTTCTATTTACTCCATTTTAACCTCATTGCGTTGCATTCCCAACTGAAATCCTTTTATACATATGTTTTCGAATTTTTCGTCGGGATTAAAATAAATACAAAAGAGTTTAGCTAGGTTAATTATTAAATGATGTTATTAGTGTAAATCTATTAACGTTGTTATTAATGATGTTAGTTAAGACTTGAGCCTTAGTTAACGATAATTGTACTATGATTGACAGAAACTGCATAAATTTTATTATTTTTATTTGAATATTTCTGAATAATAACTCAAAATAAATTAAATGAGCAAATAATTTGAAAATATCTTCTGTATAAAATTAGCACTACATTACAAATATTTCTTCCAAATATTACTTTGTACTGTTTACAATGCCTTAAAATGTATATATTTCTATGAAAAATGTATATATAGTAAAATAAACGCGGATTCTAGTTGATAATTGCTTTGCTTTTAAAATCGATTCTTATTTAGCTTAGAATTAAATGAAACCCATTAAGAGTTCTTAAAAAGATAAAAATATCATATCTGTACACTCATCTATCTCATCTTAAAATCTTTTTATTTAAATGTAAGTAACCTGTTGTTATAATTAGCAATCTTTATAATTGTAACTATTTCTGTTATTCTTGCTGAATATATGAGTGTAATTTCATATTAATAATTGTATTTTTAAATGTACTCCATGTTTAGGATCATAATCTGCTTATGTCCAACTTACAATATTAAGAAATTATGGGTAGGTTAAAGATGTATTTCACCTTGTAATTTTCTTGTTTAAAAATACGTTAGCAATTCTTTTTTGATAACATTTATATTAGTGGTAGATTGAGTTCATTTATACCCAAAATCTTTATAGCACTTTTAAATTCTGATAATATTCAAATAAATATTTATTACAACATCCCCACACAGATCCATTTTTGTAATCTTAATCTCTCAAATTTTTCAACTTTTCCTGAGTTCTAAAGATTTAATTTTAATAAATTAACTAAATTTATTAATCAGAGTGAATAAGATTAAATTTTAAAAAATTACGCCCAGTATTTTTGCGACTCTATTAAAATTTGAAATTAGGCAATAACTTCATCTGTGTTTAGATTTTAAACTGACATGTTTCATTTCCATTAACTTTAAAACTGAAACAAAGGAAAAGCAGCAAAATGCAAGGTACAGAATTGCTTAAACATTTAATTTCTTAAAGCTTTCAAAATTTTCATCAAAACAAATAGCATCCTCTTTTTTTAAAAATAGCATGACGCAAAAGTTCTGAAGTTAACTTTTGAGCAGAAACGAAATGCATTAGCTCAGAAAATAAATAAAATATCTATTCACTTTGCTTCGTTCATTAGTGGCATTAAAATCTTACATTAACGAAATGATAAATGAAATGTATAGCTTAAGTAAAGTTATATAACAGCAAAAATTCATCCAAGAGATACACATAAAAATCTGGTAAAAACTTTTTATGTTAATGTAAATCAACTATTTGTGATAAATTCGAATCAACTAAAGTAATTTCGTAAGAGTAATGGAACTTTAATTTTTAAGCACATTAATGTGTGCATTTTTTTTAAAACCTTCCGCAGCTGTCTCATTTCCTCTTCATTAAGCTTCAACTGTTTTCATATTAACTCAATAAAAAAGCAAAATATCAAAAAGAATTTAACGAATTTAGCTTAGATCAAAATAAACTCCCTAAATTATACGGGGTAATTCTTTACTACATATCTTTTCGGAAATATCTTAGGAGAAATTTTTCATTCCTTTTATCTTTTTTGAATGATTATAATTGTAGTGCCTCTGTTTTTTAGATGGGAGGAAAGAATGCTGCTGTTGTATTTGGTGACGCAGATCTCGAGAAGTGCATTCCCGTTTTAATAAGGTAAGTGATTTCAAGAACGTGATTTTTTCCCCCTCGTAAAGAGAACGCTTTTAATCCTTCCTTTTTCCTTAATTCGAAGAGGAGACAGATTCAGTTTACAAAATGAATTTATTATTAAAAGCATATTATAATATTGCACATTTTGTATGTAATTTCTTTTTAATGAGTAAAATCATTTTTATACCGACGAATAAATGTATCCAAATTAATTGGAGCAATGCTGTTTTTTGATAATTCAAAGTCGGAATCAATTTAATAAAAAAATATGGGTGTCTTATCTGTGTACGAATTATTATTATTATTATTATTGAACGTAGTTAGCATAAAATTCTTTTAAATTATTTGTTATTTTTAATTTTTCATTATTTTATTTTCATTTAAATTAAATAAAGGAAACAATATGCATCTATAATCGAAAAAAACAAAGCAAATCTTTGGTTTTACTTCAAGTTATGAGGGAATTATCAGGATTTTCCCCCATGTACAACGTGAAGTTTTAATTAGCCAGAATTCTGTTGACCAGTCAGTTCTGTGGTAATCGCCTTCAGCCTTCGTGGATGAAGATGCTCGTATTTTTTCGGGTGCTCGAGGAGAGAACAGAACATATTCGCGCCGACAGGTGCTTATGTTCCCGATTTACTTTTGGATGATAGACGCATCACTGATAATGTTACCATGGATAATACTATGGATGTTCCTACTGAAAGGAATAACCGCAACGGTAGAGGGGTGGTGCTTGCGTCCTCCGTCACTTATCACTTATCACTTACTGAAAGGAATGATCCTACAAAGTTAACTTTATATAAAGAGTATGTAAAAGAATCCGGCAATTCATGCCGGATACTCAAACGGAAGAACTTATGCAACAGATTGGTATATTGAAGAGAAGACTGAGAGGTGAGTGCGAGTTTTTAAATTTAAAGTGAGAAAATCCGCCCTTCTTTACAAAATTTTAATCTTGGAAAAAGGAAAAATTGTAATAATATTAATGATATTTCTAATAATGATGTAGAAAATTCACAAAATTTTAAGAAATTTTCCAAAATGGCCAAAAAAAGGCAGGAAAAAATCTTTAATGTGATTTCTACTAAACATCAATTAGGGTGCTAAATACACATACAGCGACTAACGGTTATATTAATAATAACGTAAACGGTAACTCCTTGGGGCAGCAATGGAATATTCCCTTGTACCAAGGAAATCCTGCCAAGATTATGATAAAAACCTCCTGAAATATTCACCTTTAAAAAAAATCGTCAAAACTAATTACATCCAAAAATAATGCGGAATTCCTCGCGAAAGTCAGCGGAGAATTCTTGAAAATACTTCCTACAACAGCTGATGATCACCGATCTCTATCCACACTATTTCACGAGCTCATCATAAAACATTACGTTATAAATCGTAAACACGCTAGACCTATTAAGGTGACAATTCGCGAGCTACCCATTGAATGCCGGCAAGGAAGAAATCAAAGAAGCCATCACGGAAAAAGAATATTTTGTTTACAGAATTGTGCAGCTCTAAAGAAATAGAACCAAACAAGTTATGCCTCTATTTCATATCCAACTAAATCCAAAGAGCAAAAATATAAAATAGCTACTATCAAGTATGATGCTCTTCAGGGTCTCCAGAGAGAAATATATAAACAAAAACCATATACAGTAATACCTTAAATGTCAGAAGTGGTATTACTCTTCTGACAATTGGTACTTGAAACCCAAGTGTGTGAAGTGTGCCGGTCTGCAAGGAACTCAGTTTTGTCCGCATCAAGGGACATTAGAAAATCCTGAGTGTTCCAACTGCCTAGGTTTTTCGGCCAGCCTCGTATACAGGTTGTGTAAAATTCCCAAATAACAGTGAATTTACAAATAATTCTAAGAAAAAATCAGGTGTCTATTAAAAAAATGAAATTTCCAACCGGCAGCTTTAAAATAAGCTAAACCACACTCCCTAGGAAAATACTGCTACTGCACATAGGAATATTTCTGAAAATCAAACTAATAATATTCCTAATGAAAATCGTAAATCTTTTTATGCAGTACAACTAATACCAATAGTAAAAATCTGGTTTCTTCGAAATATTTGCATTTATTTATTAAAGAAATGGAAAACGTCTTCGTACGGAACAGTCGAATGAGATTAGCTTCATGTTTTAAGAAATGTCTAGCTAAGCTACAAGCAGCTGATAACTCATTTGATAAATTGTATTTGAAATGTTTGAAAATTTTAATGATAATAATTATAATAACAATAATAATAATAATAATAACTCAATTACAACACTTATATTAACGTAAATAAAAAATGGCTTCATGGAAAATAAAAAATGGAGCCATTCTCAGACCTTTAAAGCAAAATTTTATCAAAGTTTCGTGATTCTAACCTTGGCAAAATTGATCTTTCTACAATAAAGGTCAGTGGATGGCAAAGTGACCAACGGACATTGATTTCTTTGAGTGGTTACCTTTTTTTACCTTAATGCTGGGTATAATTGAATTGTACCTTTAACTCCCCCACATCCACGATTCATTCATAAATGAAACTTCTTAAGTTGTTTATTAAACTTATTATTTAACTTGAATTAATCTCTCACATTTACGTTTCGGATATCCTTTCAAAATTAATATGGCGATGAAAAGAGTCTTACTTTGTTCAGTCGCTTGCCTTTAATTCGCTCGCACTTCCAGCCAATCGCTAAGGTCGAAAAATAAAAGCAAGGTCGCTTTTTTAACGTTTACCGCGACGTCAGTTCCAGCTACACCTCATGTCGTCCATTTGCCTATACAGGTATTCCCTTTTACCACCTCAGCAATAAATTTCTACCATCAACTTCATCTGCTACTCACTTATTAGAACTTTTTCTCGGCTGAAATACTCTACCTCATGAAATCTCTATAGTCATTGTTGTGTAGAATTGTTATGTTAATTTATATAATAATTTACAGTGAATAATAAAATTGTAATGTTCACATTTGAGATTTAATTTTTTAATACATAGTATTGTTTAAACTACTTTCATTTGATTACGGTAAAGCTCTTATTAAGTTAGCAGAAAAGTTTTGGTACAGATAAAAGGCGGGTTTTTCCGTTCTCACGGACCGACAACTCTGGGGTCAAAGGTCGGCGGCCAGCTGCCTTTTTCGTCCCTTATCTTTCGAGGTTGAACAAGTGTTTTGCTCGTTTTAAAGGCGAATAGTTCTACCGGACGGCGATACCTGACAGAATTATGGGTTGGAAATATTTCCATGGTGGGAAGGGTACGAACTGCGCCGAATTTGATCGAAGATCCCCGTCCCCTTGTTATCTAATCCACGAACTGCGCGACGTTTTCTGTCCCTTATTTCTTTCCCAAGAAGATTGAGTGCTACAAAAAGTCATTTATCTCCATTAATGGGACATTTTATTGAGACTGCAAGCCTTTATTTTCGTTTATCAATATTGTAAAAATTGTGCATGCAAAACAAATATTAATTTAAAGTCTGGCATGTGCTAAAGTAAAAATAAATTTATTTTACACTCATTTTAATGTTTTATGATGCTTAAAGGAATGATGAGCCAGATCTTTTTTATTCTCCGTAAGAATTAAAAACTTTCCAAGTTGTAGATTTTAGTCGTTGATATATATGCTTATAATAATAATAATAATAATATATGTATATATATATATATATATATATATAAGTTTTGAATAGTATAATTGATAGATAAATGACATACACAAAACTGATACATAATCAACCTATCAAATATCGGATTTGTAGCTCACCTGAAATAAGTTTATTGTCTAGATAATTATTAACAAATCTTCTTAGATAGCAGAATGGTTTTAACTTTCAAATTTACCCATTTAGATACACAGTTCTGATTTAATTTAAAAATTTCTCTTTATTAAATCTAAAAATTGGACTTCTTAAGTCGTTCTAAATTCACACTAATATTATTGCAATATATTGCCGTATTAAGCTTTCCATTTTTAGTCATTGAAGTTATTTTAAGGTTATTTAACTTTGCTACAAATTCCATATTTTAATACTAGAAACGTTTAAATATTTATTCTGTTTTCCACCTGACGTACTTTGGCATACATTTAATTTCTAATACACATTTAATTAATAAATTAATAATTATGAGCGTCAGCAAAATTTTCATAATTAAAAAAAAAAAAAAAAAAAAAAAAAAACCACCTCCCTTATATTCATATCCTGGGATTTTCAGTTCCCTTTTGATCCATTCCTTTTTCACATATTGTTTCACTGTACTCAAGTTTTCATGTATGTAGAATTTATATACTTTGTATTGTATTTATGCCAATTTATACTTAAGTGATAATTTTTACAAATTCTTGCATCACAACTCTAGTTAACAGAAGATGTTTCTAACACCTTGGTAAAGCTTAATCTTCAGCATATAGCTCATTTTCTAACTTAATTTCAGACTGAATTATTTGTAAAATTAATTACTTGAAATTATTTGTTAACAAAGATGGTCGCTAAATCACGCAAATAATATTTCTAACTGTTGTAATTTATAATGCAACGAGTTCATGTGATTTATACTATAATTCATTTATAATTTTTTCAGCAGTATTGAAATTAATAGCAGATACTGATAATGTTATACATTTAGATTACAATGATTTAGATTGCCATTGCCTTCTTCACTCATGCTTTTATGCTACATTCCTAATATTTCATAATGGCATACAGGTAAGTTTAACTCATTCACCAAATATGTAAATCTCTAATTCAGCCAACTTTTGTTCTTACGTGTGCTGTATCTTCTATTTTCTTTAATATATTGTTCAGCCTAATTTCTTATGATCAAGCGAAAAAGTCACTAAACATTAGTAGTTCGACCCGAGTTTCTAATCCCAAACATCTCCCAGCTCTTTTTTTTTTTTTTTTTTTTTTTTTTTTTTTTTGTATTTACTTACTGTGTAAAAATGTATCGTAAAAATTTCAGTTCATGAAGCAAAAATACTTTTTTTATTTATTCTTTAAAAATATTGCAAAAATTTTCACTTTAGCATACTTTTTTACAAATTCCTCTAATAAGAATAAAATAAGGAAAGAAATTAACTCGTGTTCGGTGATTAATTCCTCGATGCAAATTATATGTAACTTTTTTCAAAAGCATAGAGTTTATATGGATATCAATAAATTAAGGATTATTTCTCCATCTAATTTTCGTAACATGTTTATTCCAGAATTTTCTTTTCACACTGTAGCGCTTAACTTTATGAGTTTCCTATAATCATTCAATTTCTCTAGCCGTGACAACTTTGAATACCTTCTGACAAGTAGTTATATTTTTAACCACTGTATTTTAATTCCTGTTGACTATCAGTACATTATTCACTTGTTTCACAAGTGCAACTTTTATTTTATACGAAAATCTACGTAAAATAGCATTAAAACTTCAGTTATGCGAAGCTCCTGATCGATTGCTTGTTTTAGATTGAATGAAATTAAGCTTAATGTTACTGTTAATTATCTTGTTATTAATTTAATTATACATTTCTAATTAATTATATGTTCAGATATTTCCAAGTATATTACTCAAACTTTTGCATCCCAATTTTTAATTTTTGGTTAAAAAAATAAACTTTTCTTTATTGAGAGGCCTGATTGATTATATTAATTTGCAGTATTGTTTATCTGATTCTTTTCTTCTAGATACATTTTAGAAAAAACTTCTTAGCATAATAATTTAAATTTATTTACAATTTCTACGTCAGTGTTCCAAATGCATAGTGATGTTGTTATAATAGATTTCATGCTAATTTTTTTTTTTTTTAAATTTAACTAAATTTAATTTCTGCAAACATTTACATGATTACTTTAATTAACAAAAAATATTTTTAGCACACTCTAACAGACTTTGATATGGAATAGTTTTTTGCACGCTAGTGAACTCTATTAAATTTTCCAGTCTAGTTCAGACATCTTGACTATTATTAATGTAATTTATTAAAAATATAATTTGTATGCTTTATAATTATTTAATTTATGATATTATTATAATAAATGAAAGATGTTTGTAATGCTAATATGCATGTTTACCAATACCTTTTATTTTCTTTGTTAGCTCTCGCATTTATTACTGTTATTCAAGTAATTAGCCTGCTTGTTAGATATTTTTTACTTGTTCTTGTGATATGTAATTCTATTTATTTATTTTTATTTTCCTCTTGGCTACAATTGGCTTCGAAAAGTTAAATTGTATCCCTGTAGACAGCAGAGGGAAGAAATTTTGATTGGCGCAGTTGGACTATAGCTCGACCCGGGGGGGGATTTTCATTAGCGCAGTTGGAGAACACTCCCATGGTGTTGCGCGAAAAAAAGGGGTATGTCACTTTAAAATAGGGGATTGATTTTCTTCGAATTTGGGAGGTTAATTATTGCTCTTGTTCTAGTTGGTTAGAGAGGGTACCAGTTTTGTGTCGGATTGGCTAGTTTTGATATTATTGATAATTTAGCCAATTGCGATTATAGAGGCTTCCGCCTTTTGAGCGTCATCGAGGTTTTAAAAGTGGTTGCACGAGAGGCAGGTAGGCGATCAGCAGATTTTCCAGACTTTGGCAGTTTTTTTTCAACCGTGCGTAGAACCGCTGTCTGCAAGTAAACGTTTATACCGACCGCTTCCCAGCTGGTTTGAGGGCTGCTGACCGGTCCGGGTGCGTTACAGGCTCTCATCGTGACTTTTTCGGCGTCGGTGTTGGTGGAACTGGGGCTAGGTTCTGCTTTCTCCCAGACCAGCATTTCTCAAACTTTTTGGTTTTGATTTCGTCGCTGATGTTTTTCTCTTTTTAAAAAATGAGTCAGAGAGCTCGCGTTGAAGATCCAGATTGCTGATGAAAATATAGAAAGGGGGGTGTCGTCATCTCTTGAGCAGACGTTAGATTGTGGTTTAGGGAAGATTTTGACATATTGTTTTCGACGTATTAAAGAAATGGTTCGGCAGCTTCCCGAGTTTCACAGACTGTTGTGTATGCGGCTTCCGTGAGTGTAAGTTTTTTCCCTCTCGTTTTGTTTGTGACTGGTTATTAAAGTAAACAATGCGATAGTGATTTTCCTTTTTAAATATTTAATTGTCATGAGTCATCACTTAAATTAAATTAAGAAAAAATAAATGTTTCTTAAAAGAACTTTTCACAGAATTAATGTGTATTGAGATTATATCAAGTAGTTTAATTTTATTTCTAAATGTCAGAAGATAAATTTACTGATGTGTTACAAGTATAGGAATATTGAGTTCTTCTAAATTAGCTTCATGTATGAGCTTAAATTCTTGAGTAACTATTTAAACAGATTAATAATTGTAAAGTATTTCATTATAATTTTGGTAGGATTTGGAAAATGTTAAAAATGAGATTAGTGTTCAGTGAAATTTGTGTAATTATGGTAAAGTACATAACTAATCATTTGAGTGCAATATTGGTCGTTGTACAGATTGTCAAATGAAAAATTGTGAGTAATTTATTTTAGATGATGTTTCGTAGGGATAGTCTGGCCAGCTATCTAAAATTATAATTTTTGTGGAAAATTTAATCAATGTTTTTATTGATTTATTATTGCATGTTTTATTTGAGTTTTTATCTGGTGGTCTACTGTAGTCACCCATGGGATCCTTACGGAAAACATGCGTTATTTCTTTTCAACTCGAACCTGGGTAACTTATTGGGGGTATTAGGAAAATTAATTTTAAGTGTGACTATACGATCAGATTAATTTTATCTGAACTGGTGTTTCGACTTCTTACTTGTGAGATTTATCTTTCCCTGGTGTTTAAGTATTCTGTGCCATATTTAAATGAAAAGTGTTTGTCGCTATCTCTAGAATTGTACTGAAATTTATATGTTTTCAGGAAGTTGAGCTGATATAGTTTATTTTAGAGTGAGATAGCATTTTTAGAATTAGAAAGTTATTCCCATTTTCGTATTTCATTGAAAAATAATCTTTTGATTTTACCAAAACACCAGGGAGGATATTATCCTTTCATTATTGACTAAAAGAGTATGATCGTTGATCTGATAAATTTTACTTTACTCTTTTGATGATTTGTGCATTTTAGACTAACTTAAAAGTCTTAGTTTTACAATCACCAGGCAACTAAAAAGATCAGATATTTGTTATGAGAGTTTTTGTGTTTGGTTTTTTTCCTTCCTTTTTTTTAGTCGTGGCATCAAGAGATGTGAGTAAGCCAGACAGATAAATTAATAAATTAATATTAAAACTTTTTAAACGTAACATCATTCTACATTGCTGATCGATCTTGTCTTAAAAATTACAACTGCTAGAAAATGCTATCAACTTTTCAGCTATGCTACCAATTGATCGAAAATCTTTCAATTACTACTCCGGGTTAGGACCAAGCCCAGGCACCTTTATGTAAACGACACTTTAGTTTTAGAAAACCATGCTTACCGTTTTCAGCTATCACTCGTAATATGGGTATTATTCTCGAGATTACTTTCACATTAGAAGGAAAGTTATGTTCAACTAAACAAAGGTATTTCGCTAATGTGTCACTTCATTTATAAGAACACTTTATGGTACCAGATTGAAAAAATACTCTCAATTCATCAAATATTTCAGTCTTCACGTTTGGGATGTGTTAGAATACTTCCTAGAATTATTTTTATTTAAAAGTTCTTTTGTCGATTCAAATGTTCATTAAATTTATTATTCGACGTTGTTAATTATTACGAATTCCCTATTTAACTCTGTAATAACAACTTTTAAATTTTCTTCTCAGAATCAAATATTAAGATTTATTAGTATAAATGTATATTAGTAGAAGGAAAATAATGTAGAAGCAAAAAAAACTAAGGGTAATAAAGCAAGTTTAATAAACTTTAAATGCATTGATTGACAAACGAATTAATAAATCTTTTTATTTTTTTAAATAAAAAAGAAAACAAATGTGCTTTACGGATACGAATAAAATCCGTTGCATTTTGTTTAAAGTATCTACTGAACAAAATTTCTTTTTCATAAGATAATAGTTAATATTTCGTGCATCTTTTGACTCTTGCTTAAATTATTAATTAGCTTAATGTATTAATACAGTAAGGAAATTTCAATCAACAAAATCAATTAATTAAATCTTTTTCTTTAAGTACAACAATTTTCTTAAGAGTATTAAAAAAATCAGTAACGGGGAGAAGTTCTCGTTTCTGTTATGCGCCATTTTGTGCATAATTATTCTCACCTACATAGGGTGAACAATTCGAGTGCTCTTCTCTACTAAGCCTTCTTACTATGTCCCTTTTTAAATGTTTTTAGGGGTAGTTTCTTAAATCAAGGACAAGTATGTTTGAGCACCAGCAGAATATATATAGAGAAGGCAATATTTTCCATATTTGTTGAGAAATTCCTTGCTGCAGTGAGGTAAGCGAAAATATTAGTTACTTTAATGCACATAAGCCTTAAATATTATTTGTATCACATCGTAATCTGTTAAATTTATATAATATGGTATTTTAAAAATCTGATTACTTTATGTTAATGCCAATTATATTCACTAATAAAATTAATAATATCTGATTTTTTATGCTTTTAGGAAAATTAAGGTAGGTGATCCCTTAAACGAAGATGTTCGAATGGGACCAGTTTGCAGCAAACAGCATTTTGAAAAGATACAAATGTATCTGAAACTTGCAGAAGAAGAAGGGGCAAAATTTCTTATAAAATCAGAAAATCTTGATCTTCCAGAGAATAATAAAAATGTAAGTGATTGCATTTTTATATCTCGTCATTTTATTTAACTGTTGAAAATTTAGGTATTACTGTACTGTAATCTACAGGGTTCATAAAGTAGATAGTTAGACTAAGTGTGATTTAGGTGACAAATCAGTAAAATTTTGCTTTAAAACAGTAACTATATAACGTATTAATGTATTACGTTTGAGAAATCAATATTACGACCGAAAATTAAAGTAAATTTATTTTTAAATGATTATTTTAACGTAATGACTGTGTTTTTCTACAGAGAGACTGTCCTATATTTGATCTTTTGTTCTTTCTCAAGCAGAAACACTTCATGACAGATTCATACGTGATGGACTATTCTTCCGGAAGGGCTGTTGGTCAAAGCTTGAATATAGCTTATGCAAACAGAACTCGTATTATTTACCTTAAAAAAACAGTGCAATCCGTTATTCACTTAATTCATTTTTATGAGTCTTAATCTTGGGTTAAACTTTTTATTAGGTTCAAGAATGTATTCCATACAAAAACCACTCCTCCTTAAATTTAGGGAAAACTTGAAAATTCGCGATAACTCGCCGCTGAAAGTTAGTGCGATCTTCAATAAACTCTGTAGCTAGTAAAATAATGCTGAGTTAATATATAATATGAAAATTACTCGGGTTTCATCAATTTGCGTAATCATATAGCAGCAACAAAAACAACTACTTCGAAATGTTACTTCGGGTTTTAATTGTAAACAAAAAAAAAAAAAATAAAAATAAAAATAAAAAATAAAAAAAAAATAAAATAAAAAAAAATAAAATAAAAATAAATAAATAAATAAAATAAAATAAAATAAATAAAAATTAAAAATTAGATATTCCGTGGTTATTTATTAGCTTCGGTATCAGATCGCTACTGCAAAGTAAGCATTAAATATTATTAAAATTAAAATTAAACTTTTGAAACATCATTTGCCGAACGTACAGCTGGGAAAAGCCCCAGCTTAATAGTCGCTCAGATGGTTAGTTGACTTTTAATGACACAAAACCTTGAATGTTATTATGCGCCAGACGAATGGTGAATGTAATCCAAAATGCACAAACACACTGTATCAGATGAATTGCTGAAATGAACCTGTAATGCTGATGAAGGCATGTATAAATACTTTGAGAAATGCTCTAGCAACAGGTAGAGCAGGATAAAAGGAAAAACTTCAAATCATATGGTATCACTCAGATGGAGCAGACTACTAAATACAAATCCGTCTGTAGTTCATCAATTTCTAACCATAAATTCATCTTAGCCAAGGAAGATCTACAGCAGGCCGGAACAAACCTTTCGCTAAAGGACTACTAAACGTATTTTTTTTAAAAAAGGTGAGCCGCAAACTAAATATAATATTAGATATAAATTGTTATTTTTCTGGAAAGTGAAATATAACGCAAAAATAAATAAATTTCTAACAACCAATAATTTAATGAGACGAATGATGTTGTTATCTCTCAGCATTTATTTTTAAGATGTTATAGTAAAGATTTTTAAAATTGCTTATCAATAGTGCTTAATTATAAAATGTTTTATTGATATTCATAATAAGTAAACTGTGGAGTTTATCTATTTATTTTTAACTAATAGTTCATTTTAAGTTAGCACTTTCCTATTAGTTTCTTTTCACCCACGCTTTTCATGCCAGAATGTAAATGAGGTAACAAGAGTTTATTCAGATTAAGGTAGACTGAAGTGCTATTTAAGCAAGAGTTTCGGAAGTTAGTTAGAGCGTGTGAGCCATATTCCAGGCCACGTTGTATATGATTATTAGCGACTTGCGTTAGCGACTTGAGTTGTTCTAGCCATTAGGCTTTGTTTCCCTGGTTTACTACAAACCAGAGCTGTTCCTGCGCGTTAAAGTATACTGCGAGCCGTTAGGTTAATCTATCACACCTTCAAATTAGTATTGTTACGTAGTTTTGTTAAGCCAGAAGCGCTTGGCTTATTGTAACCCAATTTGGGTCATTTGTTGATTTGCGTTCGAATGAAAGGGTCTTATACACCCTTCTTTTAATTTCTGTTTTGCTTCACAAAGCTGGAAGATAATTCTTCAATAATCCTTTTAAAGTCTAATTTGTATGTTCTCAAAGAGACATAGACTTTACAAAACGTTGGTTCATATAGGTTGATCCCAAAATAACCAATACTTTTCGAGAAAAATACTTCTCAAGTTTGTCGATTGGTCCGAATTAAGAGTATTGTAAGATATTTCAGATTTCTTCACGACTGTGCTGTTCTCTTAAATAAGTAACACACTGCAGATTTCAAGCTGAAACTCAGTCGATACATTATCAGTTTCTGTTCAAAATAAGTTACAAATGATTATCAAATTTAATACGATTTTGCAAAAATCCCTATATCTACGGATACTATATGCACGATCTACGGAATTCTGTCTTGATTTGAACAAAATTAGAAGTTAGAAAGTAATTCACAAGCTGACCAATTCAAAATGTATAATAAACTTCAATTTATTTTACTTAAATGGTTTCGCGAATGAGATATCTGTGCTAAGAAGCTATGCGTTTCATTTCATCGTCAAGTCACATGAAAGAACAACTGAACAGAATATACAAGAGTGTGAACTAGACAGCAGATGAATATCCTTCAGAGGTGAATCCAAAGATTTACCTTGCAGAACAATTGTTTAACAAGGACAGAATTACATTCGAACTATTATTGTGTTAATAAAGAAACCGTAATTATGTACCAATGTTTCTTTAGGATAAAAAATTAATATTTTTACTGCTGCAGAAAATGATTCTGAATATTCTTTCATTTTAAAAGTTGGGCAGAAAGATCTTTGGAACTCTATTTTCAATTTATTTTTCTGGAAATCAAGAGATTAAATATTCTTTAGGTCTTAGTAGCAAACCAAAAGTCTCATTTTCTTTGATATGAATTGCGGATTTATTTATGTTAGATATAAATTCTAGTACATGTATTACTGAATTGATACATTTTTTGTGAGGATAAATTGGAGTTTCTTTAATTAAATAAAAGTTTATTGTTGAAAACGACTCTGTCTGATTCTAGATGAAATTTCCCATTAATATACCCTAAAGGCCTTTTACACACTTAGTTCAACTAAAAATAAATAAAAATAAAAGCCAAGTTATAGAGCGGCGTGCGGCGTTTACTGTGGTTTTCTCTCTCGTTTTAAAACTTCAATATTATATAACATATTTTAACAATCTAAAGTTTATCTTTCAGGTTTTAAAACTTCAATTAAAATGCTTCTCAGCAATGCGAGGAACTAATTTTAGAATTTGTTGTGGACAATAGGCAAAAAGAGAAGTGTTCATTTAACCACTCATCTTATTTCCAAAAGAATTCATCTTGAATTTGATTAATGTATGACTGTCAAAAATCTACAGAGGAAAGAAAAATCTTATTAACATAAAACAGCATTCATAATCATACCTTCATTTTTTATAGGGATATTTCATTGGCCCTGCAGTAATCACAGGTTTGCCAGACAACAGCAGATGTATGCAAGAAGAGATATTCGGTCCTGTAACTTGCCTTATGCCATTTGAAGATGACAAAGAGATTATCAACAGAGTCAACAATGTTAGCTACGGATTATGTGCAACATTATGGTCAAAAGATATTCAGAAGATACATTCAATCGCACCAAAGCTTGAGGTAAATTAAGTATGCTTTTCTATTACAGCTGCAACTAAGTATAAATTAATTAAGAAAGATTTTTCGAACGTATGATATTTCAAATTGAAACACACTGTTTTGGGGCAAAAAAAAAAAAGCAGCCTTAAAAATAATTCTGTCATCTCGAAATTTTGCATGCAAATGATTAAATTTTCAAGGCTAATGTGTGTTAACTTCGGTTACAGCGCGCTTTTCTACTGCGAAACTAGCATCGTATAAAATAGGTAACACATTTTATCTTTTCTCATTATCGATGTGGCAGTTCACTGGAGATATAACCAATAACGCCATTACGAGGTTTTCAAAGACTTTATGGACAAGTGGGCGACTTCGAACTTGTTCGCGTAGTAGGGATGCGCGAAGCGGGCTCGTCATACCGAGGAACAGGCCGCCGCCTGCTCCGTGCGAGCACGATTGTGCAAAAAGGCTGGCCGCAATGGTTGCTACAATGTACTCATCGGAGTAATCGAGGCTTTAGGCAGGCGAAGGTGCTCAAATGCTAGGCAAGGTCCGATGACTGCGCGACATGCCCGAACTGCCCCAACGGCATCTTTATCCGCTGTCCAGCGTACTACAGCCTTTTCCATACCACCAGTGGCAACTTCCACCATCTCACTGCGCTTGGCTGAGATTGGACTCCGCTCACAGCGGTCTTTAAACCCACAACATCGACAGCGTCATCTGGAGTGGTCTCATAGCTGATCATCATGGCTGCCAGCCTACTGTTATCGCATAGTGTTCAACAATGAATCCCACTTCAGTCTTGGAGCAGATGACCGTCGGGTTCATGTGTGAAGGGCAGGATCACAGCGTACCCAATCAGCCTTTGTTTTGCAGAGCCACACAGCAATTACCCCTGATGTGATGTTGTGGAGTGCTATCTCCTACGACAGCAGGAGTCATTCTGCATACGACTTAACATCTCAACGATATGATGATGATATTTTGAGGCCGTTTGCATTATCCATCATGGCATACTCTCCTGGAGCCATTTACCAAGAGGATAATGTTAGACTCTTCGGCTGGCATATCTCCAAGCTGTTGATGCTCATCTTTGACCAGCAGCATCACAAGACCTTTCGTCAGTCGAGCATGTATGAGATATGGTAGGCCGCTAGATTCGAGCACTCCAAAATGTCACAGATCTGGACAAGCAATTGAAGAATTTCTGGCAAAATGTTTCCCAAAATGAGATTAGGGTTCTTTATCATTCATTATATCAACATTTATAAGCATGCTTTGCCGCCAGGGAGGTTTCAACAATTACTGATTTGAACATCCAATTTGCAGTTACTAGCCATTGATGGGTTCTATGGCCTTGAATTTTTAATCATGTTATTTACCTGTATGAGCTTTGCGCAAATTTAATTTCAATAAAAAAAGTCTCTTTTTTCATGGTGATTCTTCCCCCCCCCCAAAAAAAAAGTGTATATTTTTTTCAGATAAATGAGAATCTTTTAGAATGATTTTCCTGTCAAAAGCACTATGTGCACTGTATTTGTTATACCGTAATATAAAGTTAAGAGTGCCTAGAATTTTGTACTTACTAGGTCTGTCATAATGCAGGTGTACCTGCGCTCTGCTTGACGCAAAACCGGAATTCACCAACTGATAGAAAGCAATCATCCGTAATGCTGTTGCAATTTAAGAATCATATCAGTTGATCTCAACTGTTTTTAAAGTATAGCTGTTTTTAGACGACAGATAATATTTTAAAGCCTTGCAGATTTTTTTAATCTTTAAAAGTAAAGTAAATCAAGGTTATATATTTATCTTTACTTTCTATGCCAAAGAATCCTCCAATTAAAAGCTATTATTAAAGCTGAATTATCTAATATTTTAGAGGTAACAGTTGAGTGTTATGTCGATTAATGCTTTATAGTTATAGAAAAAAATCCAACGGTATTTGCATTTATTTCAGTTTCTATGGAGCTTTTACACAGGAGACACGTATCTTATTTTGTGAATCCTTTAATGGCTTACTTGATTAAGTTAAGAAATACGTTGAATTTTTTTAAACTGAATTTTTGATAATTAATTCATCTTAAACTAGCATAATCGTGCATGAATGAAAAAAAAGTGTTTAGACTAACGTGATCCTTGAAATTATGGTTTCTTAATTTTTTTTTTTTTTTTTTTTTCCCAGGTTGGTACTGTATGGTGTAATTGTTGGTTGTTGAGAAATTTACATATGCCTTTCGGAGGTCAAAAATTATCTGGCGTAGGCCGTGAAGGCACGGAAGATTCCAGAGAATTTTACACAACAAAGAAAACTATATGTGTAAAATACGAATAAATTTTAAAGAATATTTTAGCCTAAAAATATGAATTGGGCTTCATTCTTCGCTATGATAACAGCAGTAAACTGAAATGAGAATTCTGAAAGAATATATGTAAAACAAATATACAGTTTAAACACAAATTAGCCTTTTGTTGCGTTGCTTCTGCAATGCAATTACCTCAGAGAGTAGTCTAACAAGATTTTATTATTTTGTATTGAGAATTAATATCAATGTTTGCGATGTGATACCACGGCTATATTAAAGACTGAAAAAATATGTTCGATGTAGTGTCGAATAATCGAATGTAATCAAAAGTCTTATTACTACATTACAATTCGAATTCTGGGATGATGATTGCTAAGGAAACGTGAAATAAAATGAGCGCATAGCATGCCGAAGACGAATCATCTTTTCTTCATTTTCGGAATATATGACATAAACAATATATTAATTTATCTTCAAATTATCAGACTTAAAGGGATGCTCGAGTTTTTCTTTTTTATGAGATTGCGTCTGAAATTTATTATTTCCCAAACTAGAAACTGGTGTATGTGATAAAACAATTTGATGTATTTTAGCCTAATAAATCAAGTCTTCTAAACCTGTTTTTTATCTTTTAATACTTCTTTAAGAATCATCAAAGTGTTCATGCAATCATAAAAAGAGAATGAAATAATAGCATATTTAACTAAATTTTATTTTTATTCATGAATAGATAATGATCAACGTTACAGTACACATTTTTTTACTTTTTTTTTTTTAAATAAAGAAAAGACTGTAATACTTCCAAAACAGTTTTCTGAGCTTATGATTTTTAGATCCTGATGTTCACAATCAGAAATGATTCCTGCTCTATAAGTTCAGTATTAAATGAATTCAATACTTCTACTAACACATATACGGAAGGATCAAGGAGGTTTTTGTGTCTGAAATTTAAATAGCAAGAAAGAATAAATTAAAAAATTGTAGCATTACAAAGCCAGTTTAAACCATATTAATTGGGCATCATGTAAATTCGGAGCTTACTAAGATTTGGAGGTATTCACTCTAAATTACTGTTCCTAGACAGCTGCGTTAAATACAAATTGTTAAACAACTGAACTGACATGTTCCTCTCCGGCTTTTATAGCTTTTTATAGAAGCCGTTGCGAGACAGTCCTAGGTATTTCTGGAAAGCGAAAAGAGTAGAATTACGGTTACAGCTGACACAGTCAGTTACGTTTATCCAGTTTAAATATAAAATAAGAATTATCCATTTATTAAATGTACGTGCTCCTGTATTTTTACTTTTTCGTCGTAGCTTTCTCTTACAACTCGTCACGTGCTGCATTGTATGGGGAAATAAAACAATTGTAATTCTACTAAAAATAAATAACTAAATACAAAACTGTGCAATACTTCCCCTTCCCAAGGATTGCAAGTCCCGGGCAATACAGTCCCTGAAAAGGAAGCCAAACTTACAACTAAAGTATTAGTTCAATAATACATATTTGCAATACAATAACTAACAACATAAACAATAATTGCAATAAATAACTTAAAATAAATCAAATACAAATCAAACAAGTGCATAAATTTTACAAATTTAGAAACACAAAGACCATTGTCTTATACTATTTACATTATATACACTACGTACTATGGCCACAGTAAGAAGCTAATCTGTCGTAATGAGCAACTTTAGGTATAGAATTCGATGACTTACGGATCCGAAACACGACGTCGTTCAGCCTGTTTAGGACTGTGTACGGACCATCCCAAGGAGACTGTAGTTTCGGACACAGTCCTTTCCGTCGAGTCAGATTACACTACTACACCTTGTCTTCTTCGTTGAATTGATGTCCAGTAGCTCTCGTGTTGTATCGGATCTTCATCTTCTCCGTTGCCAAGTTGACTCACTCTCGTGCGAAATTGTGCATCACTTCAAACCAGGCCTGGAGATCTTGGATGTATTTCTCAGGTGATGAAGGCGCATCCGGAGGGCGACAAAACACGAGATCACAAGGCAGACTAAGTTGTTGACTACCGATGCGCATCTGGGATGGAGAATAGCCGGTAGTCTTGTGTTTCTCTTCGACCCTACTGTGATTTCGGCAGCTTTCTGAGCAGGGTCTTTCATACAAGGCATTGGCCTTTTCAGGTGAGGATCTCATCTGATTATGAAAAGTTATGTCGTCTGATGCTGAAAGCAGGTTGTTGTTTTTGAAGTCCAAGGAAAAATAGTATTTCCTTAAAATGTCCAAGTATGCAAAGATCTATAATCTCAGCCACATATGCCGCGTGATGGTAGGCGGCACTTCGAAACGTGATGTTCACGTTTAACTTCCCATATATGTCGATTTTATCACCTAACGTAGTCTGGAGGGTAACCAAGGCACTCTAGATATCTAGTTGGCCTTGGGGTAACACAGGATGGCGTCCAAATGAGTTTATCTTTAAATTGTTGAGCTAAACCTTTCCGAATGACGGTAGCATTAACTCCTATGTCAATGATCATATTGCAAGGAACTCCGTCGATATGCCCATTGATTCTTTACTGTTGTCACTCACTGCAGAAATCTTGAGGGCTTTAAAACGGAGTTTTTCCACTATCGTTCAAACTTCGCTCCGCGATACGGCCATTAATCGTTTCCTGCGTCGTTGCTGGGAAATGGTCTTATTTTCTGTGCTGCAGTTCTTTCATACGTGGCCTTTAGCTCCGCAGTTCCAGCACTTTGGTTTCTTGTCACTCCTTTTCCGTCTCATAGCATTTAATTGTCTCTTTAAATCGTCTGTCTTACTTTCCGTCCTCTGGGGTATTCTGCAGTTCCTTCGTATTCTGCAGTTCCTTCAACACCGCAGTTCCAGCACTTTAGAATTGGTTTCTTTTCATTCCTGTTCTGAGTCAAGGCATTGACTTGAGTGGTAAAATCATCTCTTTTATTTTCCGTGTCCTGGGGTGTTCTGCAATTCCGTCGTATGTGGCCTTCAGTACCACATTCCAAACACTTTACAGCCAGTTTGTTCTCACCCCTACACCGTATGTATCAAAGCAGTAACTTGTCTGGATAAATCATCTAAACGAGGCATCACTTGATCCTCTGGCTCGTAAACTTGCACAGATCTGGCTGGTTGGCAGTCTCTAAAAGTTGCTTGCCGGGCTGCCTCGAATTTCATGGCGTACGCCAGAGCGCTTTTTAAGTCAATCACATCCGCAGGTCTTTCTGTATTTCAGAATCCCGGATACCGTCGATGAAGTACTGCAAAGACAGGATTTCTCTTGTTCCTGTCGGGAATATCAAAAAGCCAAGAGGAGACAGCCTTTCAACATCCGTGGCAAGTTCCCTGAGTGTTCGTGGGCTTCTATTGACAGGATTTTAATTGAAGTCTGCTGTAATCTTTTACACATTTCTCGCCAAAGCGCAGCTCCAACGTGACGGATAAAGCTCCGAAATCTAGTCTTTGGTTTTCCGAAAGAATCTGAAAAATATCCGCAGCGTCTGCTCCCAGAGAAGCAGCGATATGATAGGCTTAGCGCAGGAATCCCATCCATTCACTTCCGGCACTATAGAAAATTGTGTCTCATATACTTTCCAGGGGATCTTCCCGTCATACGTGGAACTTCAGAGAGGGACGAGTTGACATGGGTAAAAATTTAAAACAATCACTACTGCTTCCTGCCATCGCTACGAATTTCTCCAAGGTATCAATTTCTTTGGCGATCGCAGTAACCCTGTCAAACAGTTTGTTGTTCCACGGCAGAAACTCTCCCTATTTGTTCTTTTACAAAAGAAACTCTCCCTATTTGTTCTTTTACAAAAGAAACTCTCCCTATTTGTTCTTTTAAAAAGAAACTCTTTTTCAGTTTGTCCACCTTTATTTTCAACCGCGTCTATGCTGCTTTCCGTATCCTCAAATTTATTTTCTGTTATGCAGGTAATTTCTCTTTTCATTTCTTCTTGTTCTGCTTCAATCTTTCTTCACCAGCTGTTATTTCTTTTTTAACTGTTCCTTGATCAGCTTTTATTTCTTTTTTAACTGTTCCTTGACCAGCTTTCTTCTCCTCTTGAATGGCTTTCATCTCTATTTTAACTGACTCTTGACCACCTTTCATCTCTATTTGAACCGCTTTCATCACCCCTTTAACTGCTTTCATCTCTCCTTTAAAGGAATCTTTCATTTCCCTTTAAATGCAGCAAAGGCTGCCACGAGCTGCCTTAACTGCTCCTCCATCGCTCTCGTGATTGGCATTTAATTCCACCGCTGCCACCAAAACGTGCTGCTTGCGTACGGGTTCGTAATAGATTCAATGTACAAGTTCGATAAAGAGTTAATAAAATTTATTCTCATCACAAGAAATATAACAAAACGTGAATTTTTCCTCAAAGATATTTGCACAATATCGCAATATAATCAGTAGCTATATAAGGTACCGCATCAAAACTGCTTCAAGAGAAACGTCGTCATTTCCATATTACAACCTGCCGCCAAATAGGTTACTGCAGAGCTAATCCAGTTTGCAGCAGTTGCGCTTTTCCTCCCCAATTCAGTTACCTGAAATTAATGGAAGTACTAAATTAATTAGATTAATTTATATCTGAAGGAACAGTGTACCTCTTTACTTAAAATTTTTTTTTTCCTCTCTCTCCCAAAAACATTAAGTTGTAACCAGGCCCGCGCCAAGCCTAATCGGCGCTGTCGTGCAAATGTCTAGCTAGCGCCTTTATGTAGTGACGACATTAAAGAGACATTACTTATGGTTAATATTAAAAATGAAGCATTATTAACAAAATAATATGAGAAACCAAAAAAATTACATTTTATCTTTTGCCTAAATATGCAAACATTTTGAGCTTTGTTAAAACCCACACTCAAACATATTTATTGAAGAATTATACATACATTTATGTTATAAAAAAGCCACCCAACCACTATGGTGGTTAGCGTTGCTGACTGCCGTGCCGAAGAGACCGGGTTCGAATCCCGAAGAAAACATGGATGTTTGTAAATATATAGTGTCCGTGAGGCATGCGGGCACTAAATATGTGAGGCGAAAGTCCTCTCAAAAGGTTGGTGGTAGGGTAAGAGAGATGGGAGACGCTCGGACCCGTCCCCCTAGGGTGCTCTGCATCAAAATTGGGGGTGAAACTGAGTTAAATCGCACTGTCAGCTGTATGATGCCAACAACAGGCATATCTTGCGTTCCTTGCCACGATTAATTTCGTGGGCTTGCGCTGACTATAGGTTAGACAAGTGTGCATTAGTCAATAACACATGTTATAAAAAATTAACACTGCAAGCGAAGCGAAATAATATACTAAACGCATTGGATACCAAATATATCACTGAACTCTATTTATTATCTTAAAATTAAAAACAAATTAATATACATATCTAATAAGTTTGCATGAAAAATTGTTGTTCGCAGCATAGTTTCCGACAAGGTTCAAACTGTGATGACAGCAGGGCAGAAAAAGTGCTCTGGGGTTGATATCTAGAGATATATCCAAAATTCTTTGCTGCACACCGCTATGTTGTTGGCAACGATATAGCTTAGAGTTTCAACCGGCGATGTTACATTTCGTCCAAACGTTTGCAAAAACTGCAGTTCTCACATAAGATGTAT